ACCTGAAGCTGCTGTTGAATAATATTATATGTCAACTATAATTTTATATATATATATATATATATATCTATATATATATATATATATATATATAGTCACTGGATGTGAAGGATGTGAAGTACTGTATGGGGAGTGGAGTCAATGGAATTGTAATAGATATGTATGATATCAGGGGTGGAGGGGCAGTGGATGGGGGAGGGAGGTTGTCACTTTGTGAGGGGTGAAAAGCATAACTATTGCATTGTTTTGTACACCTGAAACTAATAATAAAAACTAAAAAAAAAATAATAAAAACAAAACAAACAAACAAAGACTTGCAAACTCCCGGTTGACATGAGAGATGATGGCAAATGATCAAAGTGTTCTGTTTACATTTGGGATTTCCTCAAGATCAAATATCAGCGTTTAGGTTCCTCTGATTCAGGGATAGAAAGAACAGGCAGCCTAAGGTCATAGTTTTCATAGGATTTGAAGTAAATTAGAGGACCGACAAGTCATGTCCACTTAACCTAGAGCAAAGCAAGAGAGGAATACAATGTGAAGAAAAGTGTGTACGACTAAGAATTAAAACAAATATTTTTACCTCTTTTTTTCATATTAATTTTGGAGGGTGAAATAATTAATTTTTGAGGAAAGGATTAATATATGATAAAAGCAAATGTGGAAATGAATAGAAACCACCCAAATAAGCAACTGCTACGTATTCAGAGTTTGCTGTAGCAAGGTGGAAAGCCTCCATCGCTTGCATTTGGCAGAGACTCAAAGGCCGGCAGAGGAGGGGAGAGCTTCTTAGTGAAGAAAGGGGCGGTGCCAGGTGTGACCTGATGGAGGTCGTTGGCTCCGGGAAGCTGGAGGTAGCTGACTAGAGGTCGGGCATCATGGGATTGGTTAGGGGTGCATGTGTCACTGTCCCTGATTGGTCCTGAGTTGGAAGCAGGGAAAAAATTAGGGACGCTGTCAGTTATTAATCAAGTCCTGGCCATTTTGGGTCGATTGCTACAAAGCTTGTTGTTTGGCTTCCTGGACTGATTGCTACAGTCAGTGTTCTGTCTTCAGATACGGCCTGACCATTTGGCCATTTGTCCGTTTATTCCCTCACATGCTAGCCATTTGATAGAAAAAGCTTTAGCTACTGTATGCAAAGAAGCCAAACCAGCAGTGGTTGGAGAGACAAAATAATGTGATGGGGGAAACAGTCACAGAGAATGATTACATATGCTATCATGTTTGGGGGTGTGTGGCCTTCAGGTCTCATCAGAAAAAATACAAAGCTCGGAGCAGAGATAATTTGCATGGGGGAAACTCTCTCCTAGACTTTAGGTTTTCGGGATTGTAATAATGCAATCAGCAGTCAAATTTACCTGGTTAATTAGAGAAAAGTAGCTCCATCAATATAAGGGGAGAAGTCTGGTAAGGGTTCATATTCTGGAAAACTATAGGGTTCATATTCTGGAAAACTAGAAAGAAGACTAAGAAATGACTTGCAATCAATAATGTTGTAAATATTTTTTAGGGGGCCAGATGGACTCAGGCCTTGTTAGGGAGACCACTTCATGGACGGTGTAAAGGCCTTCTAATATTATTAGAAGGTTTTTCCTTCTAATATTATTTCTACCCCATTCTCTCAACCATCTCTCAACTGGAATCTTTTTATGAATAAGTTTGTTCTTTTCATCCTTTTCTCCATTTGTTTTAATATTTTGTCTATATTTTTCCATCTCTTTATTTCTCTGTGCTGAAATCTATGTTCTCAGATGTATTTTCAACTCATTAGTTTTCTCTTCTGCTGTTTAGCCTGTAGTTGAACTTGTCTATGGCATTTTACCTTAATGGCTGAATTTCTATTTGGCACCTTTTTATTTGATTTTATTTATTTTAAAGATTTTTTAATTGGGGAAGGGGAACAGTGTTGGAGAATTGGGAAGGGGGACAGTCAAGTTGTTGTCCTTCAATCTTAGTTGTGGAGGGCACAGCTAGCTCAGCTCCAAGTCCAGTCGCCATCCTGCCACCCGTTGGCAGCTCGCAGCCGCTCAGCTCAAGGTGCCATGTTCAATCTTAGTTGCGGGAGAGTGTAGCCCACCATCCCATGCGGGAGTCAAACCAGCAACCTTGTTGTTAGGAGCACGTGCTCTCACCAGCTGAGCCATCCTGCCACCTGTTGGCACCTCAGTGGCAGCTCAGTTCTGGCGCAGCTCACTGGCCCAGGTGGGAATCAAACAGGAGACCCTGTTGCTCAGAGCTCATGCTCTTAACCTACTGAGCCACCTCGGCTGGCCCTATTTGGCACCTTTTTAATCTCCTTGCACTCTTTAATGAAATTTTATATTCTTGCATTACACACTCAGATACTTCCTTTATATTGTGAAACCTTTAAAACATACTCATTCAAAATATTTTTCAGATTCTCTTATTTCTGTATTTTTGGGGTGGATTATCTCTGACCCTTAGTTTTATTTTGGGAGCTCAGTTTCAGCGGCTCATCACATACAGACCTTGGATTCATGAATTCTCTTCCTTGGGCAGGAAACCTCAGCGCCAAGGGGTTCATGACACTCCATGGGCTCAAGTCCTGCTGAAACTCAAGAGGCACCCCTCTGATTTTGAGTTCCTTCTAGGACTCTAGTGCCTAGCGATACCCCTTACTTGCTTCTGAGCTTGGTTCTCTATCTAACAGGGATTCTACCCAGCATTTCCTGTGTGAGGACCAGTGAGATTAGCTGTCTGCCATATTGATCAGTGTCAGCTAATATTTATGATGTGCCTACTGTCTGTTTGCTGTGGCGAAGTGCGGAGGATGGGAAATAACAAGGCACAGGCTTTTTCCTCAGGAAACTTAGAGTCCAGAGGGCCAGACAGGCAAATGAAACAACATTTATAAGAAAATACAAGAAGTTCAAAGCTGTAAGTATCATGGGGTTCTATAGAAGCCCCAGGGAGGGGGGCATCTGACTGAGGCTTTGGGGGAAAGGTGGGGATCAGCGAAGAGGGTGCATGTTTTATAAACTAAGTGTCTATTGGAAAAGATGAATGTGACAAGGCACTTTTGTGGGGAAAACATTTTAAACTGTACTTTGTTTTTAAAATCTGTGTACAGGCCCAACAAACACAATCAGACACAGAAGTCCTTGCCTCCCTAGTTCCCACAGTATAGGATTTTCACAAGCTTCACGTTTCTTTCAGCACCAAAGTTGCTATTCGATGAATCATTTATTAGGCAAACATCATTCAAGCAACAATTAAAATAGCCTCTCAGAAGATGAATTTGACTGCTGGGGTATATGTTTTTCCCTGGAAGACTTTGAGTCATTTCCAGCTGCCATTGTAAATAAACATTTATGAAGATTAGCTCTTCCCAAAGACTTAGGAAGCTTTATTCTGTTGTTGTTGTTTTACATATTAAAAAGTGCTTATTATCCACATATTTTTGGTAATATATAAATATTTATATCAAGATTAATAATTTGGGACAATTTAAAAATAAGGAATCTGGAATGAAAGATATTGAATATTATCTGCAGAACTATAGGATGCTTGGCTGGATGTTACCTGGCTGAAAATCTAGTCCAATCTAGTTGAAACTAGGATCCCTTAACCCAGCCACAGCCGGGTCCCTACCCACTAGATGCCAGTAACATTCCCGCCCCCTGAGTTATGACAAAATGTCCCAGACATTGCTGAATGTCCCCAGATGAGAACTACTGATGCAAACCGTTTCTTTGTTTTAGAGATGAGAAATGGAGGCTCAGAGAGGGAAGTGATGGGCCTTCGATTACTCAGCTAGTTTGAGCAGACCCTGGAACGTCATCCTGGGTTGGCGGCTGCCTCTTCTCAGCTCTTTTCACAGAAACTGCAACAAAATCCCCGGCCAGTATTAGTTAACCATGCAGTTTTATAATATCTGTGCCAAAGCCTTGGTCGCAGAGCCTCAAAATAATGTAGGTTCTGTTGAAAACCTCTGGCTCGGCAAACTTGTACTGGTTGAGTTGTCTCCAATTGACTTCAGAACCAGCGATCCTCATTGAGTTGATTGTAAGTAACCAAAATGTTCCTCCCAAACTCACACTTTCTTTTTGAGAAAACATCTGTTTCTCCTTCCATGTTTTCTATTTGTGAAATAACAAATGCCTTGAGCCAGCCCCAGAGGATATTTGTACATTTGATCGTTTTCCATGGTACTGGTGACGGGGGACCCTCTGCTTGCCAAGGAGTAAATAAATCTGTACACAGCTGCTTTTGTTTGTTGGATGATTGGATGTAATCTATGCAAAGTTAAAGTTCACTTCGTGAAAACATCTGGTTTTATCTGGGTCCTTTCTTCTGATCAGTGCATTCAGACACCTAGGGGAGAAAACCCCAGATAATTCACATTTTTGAACCCCTGCGGTCCCGTCCTTCTCTTATTCACCATGTAGATAAATAAGGAAAGGAGGCAGCAAGGGGTGAGTGAAACCAGACCCCAGAATGTTCTTCCTCAGGGATGGTACCGCCGTGAGCTAGCCCTCCCTGGCTGGCAGGAGGCTCACCCCCTTACAGGTTACTCAGGTTCACTTGGCAGGCCGGGCTTGGATTCTCACACTGCAGCGCTGTTGTCATTGAGGCCACCAGATTCTGTGGCTGGCAAAGATCACCTGAGCCAGCAAACGACTGGTGACATTCCATTTCCACTACAATTTATGTCAGTGTGCCAGTGACGAAATTCACAGCTGTCCCTCAGCACTCCCGAGGATCCATCTGACAGGGCAAATCCTGCCGCCAGCTGCAGCCTGTGCCAGTGGCCACAGCGGGTACCGCTCCTTGCCCTTTGTTAAAGTGACCCGCAGCTACGGGAGATAGCTCAGGAATGCTGCTGACGCCATCCGGGCTCAGCACCCTCCCGGCTTACGCTCCGGCTCTGCCAGTGGGTAAGAGGAACTGTGTCTCCGCGTTGTCAGATGTCCTCATTGCCCCCAGATGATGAGTTTGGCGCTGGCTTTGTGCACCCCAGAAATATCCATAGTCAAGTTGAAGGCTGGGGTGGGGGGCGGAGGGAGCAAATCAGGTGAATGCTGCGTGGTCAGGCCTGCTGAAGGCCCCCTGGCACAGCCACCCGTTTCCCTGGATCACGCCATCTTCTGCATTGTACCCAGGATTGTGCTGTGATGACGCCCGGGGACAGGGATGCAAGGCCTATTTTCTGGCCCCTTGTCATGTGCAGTGCAGTGTCTAAGATGGCAGTGTGGGATTGCAGAGAGGGCCCTGATGGAAGTGAATCTAAACATCTGGGCTCCAGCCACGCTCTGACAGCCGTGAGTTTGGGTGAGTAGCTCAGCAGCGGGGGCCCGTTCCCTCACAGCTGTCTAGGACTGTGGCTTCCCACTGCTCCTGAGAGTCGGGCAAGCTCACGGCACTGAGCAGTTCCTCCTGAGCATCCGGCCAACAGTTAGAGCCAGTTACTCGGCTTCCGAAAGCCTGGTTAGCTCAGACAGTCACAGCTTCCCAAGGTTGGGGTCCAGCTGCTTTGTCCCACGGTTGACGGAACTGACGGCACAGGTGACCCACTCAGGGCCACGTCACACATTTCCTGAAGAGCCAGTGCTGCCGTCCCCTGTCCTGCCCCACCATGCAGACTTTCCATTTGATGTGCCATTTATCTAACTCCCGGTGAAGGCATAGTGTAGAAACAGGATTATACTTTGTTCTAAAAGCTTCTTGGTGCAGTAAGATTTAGAAGATGCAAACATTTTGGCAAGATGGCGTGTTTTCTGGGGACTCACAAGCAGGGCCCCTGTGAATGTAATTCTGTGAGGACGATGGGACCCTGACGGCCATCTCTTTGACACTCCGGGATTCTCTCTGTGTGTCCATCAGGATGGTGTGTCTTGGCTTGGAGAGCACCTGCTCAGATGTCACCGAGGTCACTTCGGTACTTACGGAATGGAGCAGCTGGTCTCCTCTGCCCGGGCAGAGCGGCGGCAGAAGCCTATAGATGCTGTCCACTGGAACGTTCTGCAATGATTGACGTGTTCTGGGTGTGCCCGACACGGTAGCAAGTGGCCGCATGTGGCTATGGAGCTCTGAAATGTGGCGAGAGCGACTGCATTTGAAATTTGATTTCATTTTAACTAATTTAAAGTTCACAGCCACTAGCGACTACTGTACTGGACAGCACAGTTAGAAAAACCCCTCGCCTGGGCTCCCTGGGGCTGTGGTGGTCAGCTGTGGCAAGCCTCGGGATGTGAACCTAAAACCCCCGGTGTTTGTCCTCTGGGCTGTGCAGACTTCAGTCTGAGCGTCTGTTCCCCATTTGGGCTCCGTCTCCCAGTGCGCACGCGCGCACACACATCCCCATTCCTGAGGTTGAATTCTATGCATGTCAAGGGAGGGGCAGGGGCCCCTCTCTTCCTTCCATGCTCCCCCGCGCCCCCAGCCTCTGCCTCCATGAGAAGCAGCAGCTCCTGCCTCTTAGGGGTCATGTCTTTTCTTTGCACCTTCTTCCCCTTTGAAGGCCTCTGCGCCTACCTCCCGTTCCCTCCCTCAGCTGCTGGTGTGGGGACGCAGACGGTGGAGCTTAGTTTTCTTTGCAGCTCTGCTTTTCAGTTTTACATGGGTGACAGGAGACACGCGTGAATGAATATTCAACGATACGATGCAGAGATTCTCAAAGAATCGTCCTGCAAAGCACTGATTTTGCGCAGACTGGATCCATTTTAGCTGCAGCTTGAAACCGGGCTCTCTCTCACCCCCTCTGTGTTACTGACCAGACAAGCACTTCTCAATTTCAAACTTTTTCTCTAGCAATTTTTCTTCTTAGACTTGACTGCTCCCAATTTTCTTTTTTTTTTTTTAAACTTTTTTTTTTTTAAAGATTTTTATTGGGGAATTGGGGGGATGGGAACAGTGCTGGGGGATTGGGGAAGGGGAACAGACAAGTTGCTGTCGTTTTGCTCTTCAGTCTAGTTGTGGAGGACGTTGCTTCACTGGCCCAAGTTGGCACCATCATTGCGCTCTTCCCTGGAGAGGCAGATCAGTCGCCGGCTTCTGGACGGCCGCTCACTGCGGCGGCTGGCCGCTCACGCTGGCTGCTGGCTACACACGGTAGCCCATGGCAACCCACTGCCACAGGGACTGCAGCCTACGCCGTCGCCAGCGACTCACGGCAGCCCAGCTCCAGGTTGAGCTGTTGTTCAGCATCTTAGCTGTGGAGGGCAGTGTTCACTGGCCCTCATATGCGGGATCCGAACCGGGGCCCTCTGGCATCCCAAGCGAGTTCTTAACCATCGCGCCACTCGGCCGGCCCGACTGCTCCCAATTTTCAAGCAGACAACTAATCAGCTAGTTTTATTTTTAAGTTAGAAATACTTCTATTAACAACTTAAGAAAAAAAACAAAAAAACTGGCTCAGATTTTCTGCTCTCTGAAAGGAATCTTAATGCAAGCTTGCAAGCCGAGACACCTGAACTCTGCATTAATAGTAATCCCATTCTTCCAATCCCTCAGGCCAAAAGCCTTGATGTCAATCTTGACCTCTTTTCTCTTGAGCACACAGGCAACCCGTCAGCTCTACCTTCACCAAATATGCAGAATTGGACACTTTCCACCGTCTTCACTTCCACTGTCCTGGTTCAAACCATCATGGCCTCTCACCAGGGTGAGTGCAAGGCGCCCTCATCTGGCCTCCCTGCTTCCTGGGCACCTCACAATCTCTTTCCCACCCAGCAAACAAAGGGGTCCCATTCTATCTCCGTAGCTTTTTCCTCCTCTAGAGTAAGACCTGCAGGATCTCCCCCCCCCCCAACACACACACACACACACACCCTCCCCTGCTCACCGCCCTCCCCACAGGGGCCTTTCCCCTGCAGGACCCCACACCCTCCTAATCTACCCCTCCCTCCTTCATGACTTCATCAGCGCTTACCTCAGCAGGGACAGACAGCTCGGCTGTTTTATCTGAAGTTACAACATCTCCCAGCCCCGACGCACAGTGCGGACACACAATCCTTGTTTGTTTTTTAGAATTCATCCTTTAAAACACATTTTACAGTTATCGTGTTTATTTTCAATCCCCTGCATGACAATGTAGGTTTCCAAGGATGAGGGTTTGGGACCTCATTGCCCAAGGGAGTATCTAGCCCTTGGTGGCTCCTCGTGAATGTTGAGACATCTTCATAAATGAATATTTTCCAGCGCCCTACCCACATTCCGTATTTTGGTGTAAAAATGGGCTTACGTTGAAATGACAGTCCCTAACATTGATACGTAACTCAACCCTGGGCTTAAGCCACCCTGCCCACCCTGCAAAAACCCTGCAACCTTAGTGGCGAGTTCTCAAACTTAATAAAACAGCTTTTTGAGATACAATTGGTATACACTAAGCTGCACATATTTTAAGTGTAAAATTTGATATTTTGACACGTATGTACCCATGAAGCTGTTATCACAGTCAAGGTAACGAAAATATCCAACATCACCCCAAACTCCCTCATATGTCACTTGTAATCACCCCTCTTGGCCTCCCCACCCCTTTCCAAACACAGCTACTGATCTGCTGTCACTATGGATTAGTTAGATTTTCTAGTTGCTTATAAATGAAATCAGACATTATGTACTTTTCCCCAGCTTTGTTCACTCCGTACGGTTACTTTAAGAAGCATCTATGTTATGTATATCAGCAGTTCAGCCCTTTTTACTGCTGAGTAGCATTACACATTTACCCACTCACCTGTTGATGGACGTTTGGGTTATTTCTAGTTTGGAGCTATTACTACTGTGTTTTCCCAAAAATAAAACCTAACTGGAAAATAAGCCTTAGCATGATTTTCAGGGTGCTTGTAATATAAGCCCTACCCCAAAATAAACCCCAGTTAAGATCGTCAGCCAGACATGACTCTATTTGAATAAATGTTGATTTTTGTACATGAATAAATGAATAAAATGCATCTTTTGGAGCAAAAATTAATATGAACAGCCATGTACATGTCTTTGTGTGGACATGTGCTTTCAGCTTTCATTTCTCCTGGGAAAACACCTAAAAGAGGGATGTCTGGATTATCTGTTAGGTAAATGTTTAACTTATTAAGAAGCCTCCAAACTGATTTTCAAAGTTGCGTACTACTTTACATTCCCACCAATGGTGAACGTGAGCTCCGTTTCTCCACATTCTCTCCAGCACTTGTTATGGTCAGCTTTTTAGTATTAGTTAGTATTCAAGTATACCTACTTGTATGTAGTGTCTCGTTGTGTTTTAAATTTCCGTTTCTCTAAAAGCTTTTGAAATATAATTGATGTATAACAAACTGTACATGATTAAAGTGTACAGTTGAATCTTGTACACATTATTTTTTAAAAGGTTTTATTGGAGAATTGGGGGAGGGGAACAGCACTGGGGAATTGGGGGAGGGGAACAGACAAGTTACTGTCCTTTTGTTCTTCAGTCCAGTTGTTGAGGACATCACTTCACTGGCCCATGTTGGTATTATCATTGCGCTCTTCCCGGGAGAGGCTGTTGCTCACTGACCATTGGACAGCCGCTCACGGCAGCTCATGGCAGCTCACAAAAGCTCACGCCCGCTGCCGGCCAGCCCCACTGCAGCCTACTCTGTCGCCGGCGACTCACGGCAGCCCAGCTCTGGGTCGAGCTGTTGTTCACCATCTTAGCTGCAGAGGGCACAGCATCACTGGCCCTAATGTGGGATCCGAACCGGGGCCCTGCTGCTCAGAGCTGGTGTCCCAAGCCAGCTCTTAACCAACGTGCCACTCAGCCAGCCCTTGTACATCTTTTTATTTATTTGCCATCCAACTACCTTCTTTTGTGAACTGTCTGTTGAAATATTTTGACCGTCTTTTATTGCTTGTTTCCCTATTGTAAAGTTTTGAGGGTTCTTTGCATATTCTGGATACAAGTTCTTTGTTAGCTATGATTTGTAAATACTTTCTCCCAGACTGTGGCTTATCTTCTCACTTTCTTAATATTATCTTTCAAAGAACAGAAGGTTTAATTTTTGATAAAGTTGAATTTATTAATTTGCTCTTTTATAGATGGTGATTTTGATGTCATATCTAAGAAATATTGCTCAACCCAAGATCACAAAGATTTTCTCTTATGATTCTTACTATAAGTTTTGAAATTTCAGGTTTTGGCCATATATATCTACAGAGGGTGCCAAAAAATGTCTACACATTTTAAGAAAGGAAAAAACTGTGTTAAAATTGTAATATTCAATATATACCAATAACAAAAGATGAATACAAGTCATGTTTGACTTCTGCAATTACAAGAGGTGCTCAAAGTGGGTTACCACCAGCGTCCAGACACTTCCGATTACGGTGAACTACTGCTTGAGCAACGTTCACCAAAGTGGTGTCCATTTGTACACATTTTTTTGGTACTGCTGGTATATACTATATGATAATATATACATTGAATCTCTGACTCATTTTGAGCTAACTTTTATAGCTGGTGTGAGATATGTATCAAAGTAAATTTCTTAGCATATGGATATATCCAATTGTTCCAACATCATTGGTTGAAAAGGCGGTGCTTTCTCCACTGAAATGCCTTTATACCTTTGTCAAAATCAGTGGCCCATAAATGTATGGGTCTATTTCTGGACTCTATACTCTTCCATTGATCTATCTGGCTATCTTTATTGCCAATACTATATTGCCTTGATTACTGTAGCTTTATAATAAATATTAAAGTCAAACAGTGTTAGTTTTCCAACTTTGTTCTATTCTAGGTCTTTTGCATTCCATGTGAATATTAGAACCTGCTTGTATAATTCTACAGAAAATTTTGACAGAGATTGTGTTGAATCTACAGATCAATTTACCAAGAATTAACATTGCAACAATATCGAGTCTTCTAAAAGATGAAAGTGGCCTATCTCTCTCTATTTATTTAGGTCTTCTTTAATTTCTCTCATCAGTCTTTTATAAGTTTTCAATATAGAGGACTCACATGTCTTTTGTCAAATTTTTCCCTAAGCATTTGTTATTTGGGGTGCTATTTTTTATGATGGTTAATTTCAATTGTTGGTTGTTGCTGGTATATAAACATTATTTTGCATATTTACCCTGTATCTTGCAACATTGATAAACTCACTTATTAGCTTGTGAAATTTGATTATGAGGTAACTTTGTGTGAGTTTTTTATGTTTCTTGTGCTCAGAGTTAGATAAATATCTTGGATCTGTGGGTTTACACGTTTCACCAAATTTAGAAAAATTTCATCCACTATTTCTCTAGAATGGTTTCTCTGTTGTTCTCCTCTCTACTCTTCTTCAAGGCCTCAAATATCCATACATTAGGCCATTTTAGGTTATTCCATAGTTTGTTGATGATTTAGTCATTTTTTTTAAAGTTCTTTATCTTTTTTGTATTTTATTTCAGATAGTTTCTATTGCTACTCTGCCAAATTCTTGAGAAGACCTTCCACAGATCTCAGGATTCTTTCTCCTCTCTAGTACTTCATTCTGCAAACTTGAGGCACTTTGGACTCCCACATTCTCAGCTCTGTTTATTCAATCGAGCTCTCTGTACCCAGGGAGTCCACTGGGCACCACCTGGATTGCTGGCCCCTGCCCCGTGGCCTGGGGACTCCCGTGGCAGTAAGCTGGAGTGCTCCCAGGGATCACCTTTTCTATTTCCTATCCTCAGGATGACTGGTTTTCATTGCCTGCTGTCCAGTGTCTTGAAAACTGCTGTTTGATCTATTTTGTTTGGTGTTTATGATGGTTTCAGATAGAAGGGTAAGTTTGGTCTCTGCTACTTTAATTTGATCAGAAGCAGAAGTTGCAAATGAACTCGTTTTTATTTTTCTGAACATACATGTGTTCATGTGGCTAAGATTTTACATTGCATGCATTCAATGGGTGCTTTCTGTAAGTAACCTTGATCCCAGTTTTGTATCGGAACTGAAGAGATGAATAGTTTATGAGTTTTGTATGCTAGGTAAATCATGCCCGCCAGGTACTGAAGGTGTCAGAGAATTCCTGCCCTCGCTTATTTGCTTGTCACTGATGTGCTTTTAGGGACCTCTTGTCCTGTTAAGGCAGTGGTGTCCCCTTCTCGGTTAAATTCTTCCTTCCTCTCATTGAATATCCACTCGAAGTTTAAGTTCATTCCTTTGAATCCTAGTTTCGGCTCCCTGAGAATTTGACAAACTGACTTCTCCTAAAGGGACCATGTCACATGTCCAGTTGTAAAGACATGGACTCTCTAGCTTTAAACTGAATTCTAAAGTGTATTCTAAAAATATGCTTACCATGACGGAGTCCTTCGGCATGGAGATATTTATATATTTTACATAGATGTTCACTAAGTACATGATGGGATTTCCACACAAGGGTTCTAAACGTGCCTCTGTGAGTGGACACAGAGGCCTTGGAAGCAGCGACAGGAACAGCACAGCCCACACCAACACAGAAATAGCCTGTTTTCTGCTGGAGCAGAGAGCAAGGCAGAGCCGGTACATTTTAGGAAGCTGGACATCTGTGCCAGGGATTTGCTTCCCAGCTTATTTTTGGCCTTTTTATTTTAAGGACCTTTAATCTACAAAGGTGTTCAAAGTTTAAATAGACAGATTTTTTTTTCATTTTCTTCCCGTTACTTGGGTGCCTTGATACTCTCCTAACTGAGAAGACATAACTTTTAACATATATCGTTATTTTTAACGGGCTCTTTTCTATATATTATTATTATTTAACTCATATGGAATTTATTAGGAGTGTGAGCTAAGAAGCTGATATTATTTTTTCCAAAATGTCAAGAAATGTTCCCAGCACCATTATTTAAAAAACAAAATCCATCATTATTATTATTATTATTTTTAAAGATTTTATTGGGGAATCGGGGGAAGGGGAACAGACAAGTTGCTGTCATTTTTTATTCTTCACTGGCCCAAGCTGGCACCATCATTGCGCTCTTTCCAGGCGAGGCAGATCAGTCGCCGGCTTCTGGACGGCTGCTCACAGCAGCTGCTGGCTGCTCACGCTGGCTGCTGGCTACACACGGTAGCCCATGGCAAACCACTGCCACAGGGGCTGCAGCCTACGCCATCGCCGGAGACCCCCAGCAACCCAGCTCCAGGTCGAGCTGTTGTTCAGCATCTTAGCTGTGGAGTGTCACTGGCCCTCATATGTGGGATCCGAACCGGGGCCCTCTGGCATCCCAAGCCAGTTCTTAACCAACGCACCACTCCAAAACCCATCATTATTGACTTGTGATGCCACCTTTATAAAATATATACTTCTGATGTGTACTGAGGTCTGTTTCTGCGTTCTCAGCTCTCTTCTGTTGATTTTTTTCATCTTATATCTCTATAATGCTACTCTAAATTGTAAAAAAGTTCTTCTATAGAAATACCTGCAGTGTTTCTATCACTGACTATTCTTATTCATTCAATCTATCTTTCAGATAAACTTTTTGCAAGCCAAAAAATAACATTAAAATTGTCTTTGGGATTAAATAGAGCATCTCAATTCTTTGGGGGAAGAACTGCTATTTTTAAAATACTTTAATCTTCTCAATCTTCCCATCCAGAAATATTTTATCTCTCAATTTATGCAACTCAGTTATGTCACAGATATTTACTGAGATATACATGTATTTCCTGTGCATTTTTTATAAGATTTTTTCCAAGCTATTTGGTTTTGTTGTTATTGATATTGTGGGTGGCTGGGAACTCTGAGCTCTAAAACTTATTTTTTGCTAGTTAATGGGAAAGATACTGATGTCTGAACATTTTCCATCAGGCTACCTGAAATGTTTCCTGCAGTTTTCAGTTGGTTTTTGTATGGTTTTCTTTTAGTCAATTAGTTGTTTGAAACTTAATATTCCCCTGATATGATTCTATTTAATGAATACCAGAAAACTCTGTGAAATGCTGAGCTGGAGAGGAGAGATTACTAACTGCAAACTTCTAAAACATCCTCACAGTATGATATATTTTGCTATAAAATCCTAGAGTTCCTTAGAGATGAGTAAAACTTTTTTTGAAAACAAATTTAACTCTTTTGTTTCCAGAGAATGAACCACAGTCTCTGACATGTAGCTGTTGCAATGTTAGATGTTGGGGGGAGAAAGAAACATTAGAGACCACCTTATAATGAATGAGCAGCCATCAAAATTCCAATACATTCTAAAAATGTTACACTTTTCTTACCTATAATTTTCCCCATAAGCAATGTCAGCATAGCCCCATTTTGTCTCAAAATGATGCATTTTGTTTCAGAGCAGATACAGAAAGATAGGTTCCACCAGCCCCTAAGTTTTTCTCAGCTGTTTTCTAAACACGCAGCATGGATGGGACCGGTGCTGTTGCAATGGCCAACCTCAGAGCATCGGTACTGGCCAAGACAAATATACTGTGAACCTCTAAATGGAAACTCACTGCTCCAGTCACGTTTGTCTAGGGGGAGGAGGGTGCCTGGACCTCAGGGCAGCACCACAGGAATAGACTCTGGTGGGAA